ATCAAACTCCAAACATCTAACTGCTCTCTCTGGCGCAAAACAAAAAGTATATTAAAACATAAAGAACTAATACCGCCAATAAAACTAAACATCAACCAATTAGCAGTATCTGACATAGACAAATCTAATTCATTTGCTGAATACCTACATGAAGTATTTAAACCCAACAACATAAACCCCTCTACCAACCATATAAACAAAATCAACAAATCACTAGATAGCCCCCTACCAATGACACTGCCCCCCAAACACTTTTCTCCAAATGAAGTCAAATATGCAATTGGCAAACTAAAGAACGGTAAAGCTCCAGGTTACGACCTTATAACAAATAACATCTTAAAACAGCTAACCAGCAAATCTATCCTAAACATAGTCCATATCTTCAATGCCATGCTCAGACTTTCTCATTTCCCCCCACTTTGGAAACTATCAACAATCATAGTAGTGCCGAAACCAGGTAAACCTAAAAATTTAACTTCTTCTTACCGTCCAATCAGCCTCCTCCCTACCTTGGGAAAACTATTTGAAAAACTACTATTAAAACGTCTTCGAAATATTTCAGAAATAAAAAACATCATCCCCCACTCTCAATTCGGATTCCGTGCAAATCACTCTACAATACACCCACTCCATCGTATCACCGATGCTATCTCCTCATCTCTTGAACAAAAAAAATACTGTTCAGGTGTCTTTTTAAACATAGCCCAAGCTTTCGATAAGGTATGGCACGAAGGGTTACTCCACAAGCTAAAATCAAACTTCCGAACACCATACTACTTAATATTAAAATCTTACCTAGACCAACGTTCTTTCCAAGTAAATATAAACAACACACTTTCTAACCATTTCACTATAAACGCCGGAGTTCCCCAAGGCAGTGACCTATCCCCCCTTTTATACTTAATATACACAGCTGATATACCTACATCTAACTTTACAATCTTAAATACTTTTGCTGACGATACAAGCATATTAGCATCAGACGCTGATCCCTTAATAACAAATTTCAAACTCCAACACCACCTCAATCTTTTAGAAAAATTGTTTACCGAATGGAAAATTAAAGTAAATACAACCAAATCAAACCACATCACCTTTTCTCTTCGACCAGACATCTGTCCACCAGTCAAACTTTACAACACTTTACTCCCCCAAAATAATAAAGTAAAATACTTAGGCCTCATTTTTGACAAACGACTAACTTGGAAAGACCATATAACTGAAAAAAGAAAACAATTAAACACCCGACTCCATCTACTTCGCCCTCTCTTACGTTCCAAACTTAATCTAAAGCTAAAAACACTCATCTATAAAACTCTTATCTTTCCACTATGGTTTTATGGTATTCAAATCTGGGTCTGTGCCGCTCCATCCAACATCCAAAAAATCCAATCCTTTAAATCCATTTGCCTACGAACACTCACCAATTCCCCTTGGTACGTCCCTAATAAAACTCTCCATTCAGATCTTCAAATTAGTTATGTTAACAATATTGCCAAAACTGCTTACCTAAAACTTCATAACAAATTAAACTCTNTTAAACTAATTACTAATCTGGATATAATTAAGGAAATAGGAGTTGATGTTGGGTTGGGTTGGTTACATTTTTAACTTTATAATGCTATAACTCATTGAAAAGTGTACGAATCAACACAATTTTTTTATGAGAAATAATATTTTTTAATAATCCCTTTTTCATTCGACATACTTTATCTTAATCAGGGTATTAATAAGAAACTAGCAGATAATGTAGCTTTTGTAATTATTCACCAATTTCTTATAATTAAATTTTATCTACAGATTTGTATAGAAGCGTTTCTTATGATAGTGATTTTAATCACTGTCAGATTAAATCTATACTGGACCCAACTATGCCTCGTCCCCACTGTGCTGGGTTTTTTACCTTTTAATATTAACACGTCCACTAAAGTGGTCAGATAGGTAGATCACAAGAAAACACAGGTTCTTTTATTGAAACAAAAAGAAATTAGGTCATCGGACCGTTTATTCAATTAATTCACTGGAGACATAATACTTAACATATATATATATATATATGAATATAATACTGGAAAAATAATTTTTGATTTCATTTAGTTACATATAATTCTTGATTTATCAGTTAATAATTACTTTTAAAAATCATCCCTTATAGTTTAAACTTTATTTTTTTTAATGACAATATACATATTTAACTAGCACATAATAGATAATAAATAGAAAATAATCTAATTAATAAAATGACTGGTCGATAACAACTTTTAAACCAGTACTTTGGAATAAAATACTACAAATATCTTGAAATGTTCAACTAATGTTTCCATAATATTATTCTATTAAATTGAGAGGTTTTTATAAAATTTAACAGGTGTTAAGTCGAATAAAAATGTTTTTTTCAAGACAATATCTTCATTATTTAAGAGATCTGATTTCGTCTCTTTTTCATACAATTATTTTATGATCATGTATGATTTTATCGTTTATTTATAACAAATTATTATTTATAACGAAGGTATGTTCTTAGAGTTTAATGATTATTGAACAAATGAGACCGACTTTATAATGAAATTAATTTAAAGTTTATTTCAAAGTAATTGCATTATTAAAATAGTATAAATTCTTTTTTAAGTGATTTAACTACATATATAGAGAAATAAATTAGATGGATCCTTATTTCGACGTAATTAATTTAACATGTTCAATAAAAATGTTATTAAATTCTCAGTGTTCTTAAGTGTATACTTAGAATGTCTGATACTTAAATGAACTCAAAATTTTATAACACATGAAACCTTAATTACTGTCACAAAACTAGTCTAAATGATATTTGAAATATGTGTAGGGGAGATCAGCCAAATTGATGCTTGTGGTAAGATTTTACAAATTTTATTTACTACAATAATGGCTTGTGAATGTAAATATTGCCTTTGTTAATATTCCATATGAATATAATCGACATCCCGATTAATTTAATAATAACAATGATTTTATCATCGTGATTTAATTTTTCATGTTATCCATATGCTACTGAGCTTAAATTTTAGTCTATAGTAAAAGTAAATAAATCATTTTTTTTATGTTCCGTTTTCTAAGGTTAGATGTAATAAATTATATTTAGTTGTATTTATTTATTTAATTTTAGTTGTTTAGAATATTGACGGGTTTTAAAATCCCGTTATTAAAAACTTATTAGTAAAAATAATATGAGTAAAGATGAAAAATTGAATCATCTTATCCCAACAAATATTTTTTATTGTACATATATATACGATACGAGTGGAGCAGTTATAACTGACAACTCATATAACTTATAATCTACATAAGATTTCATAAGTTTTTTTTAATAAATTTTTACAATATAGAACTATATTTAAAATATGTTTTATATTAATTAATATTTTTCTCAATTACAAAAAATATTTAAAAAATTAATTTCGAGGGTCGGGCACTCAATATACGAAAAACATGGCTCAAAGCGCCCACGCTTTTTTTCTCAATAATACTATTATTTTTCGTTCATTATTGTTTTTAAGCTTATTTTAAAAATTATTTTTAACTTTTTAGTTCGATGTGCTTTAAAAGCGTGTTTTTTTAAACTATATTTATTTCATGTCAATTACAAATGCTTATTCAAATGTTAATAATTTTCATGGAAAAGAAATCGCGTACTGTTACTAGTAAATAATGTAATACGTGTTTACTTCTGTACTTTACATAATATGGACTAACATTACTACCATAGGAAAATTGTATAAAAAATCAAAATTTAACAAATTTCAAAATGCTGTATAAACGTAACTACTGAATTAAAATAAGAGTTTTTGATATCAAAATTTTTCTTTAAAACTTATCTATAAAATCTTCAAATCTTAAAAAAAATTTTAATATATTAATTAATTTTTAAAATATTTTTGTAATTGTGAAAAATAACATAAAACATATTTTAAATATAATTCTATATTGTAATACATGATTAAAAAAAAACGTATAAAATCTTATGTAGATCATAAGTTATATGAGTTGTCAGTTAGATCTGACTAATTAATAAATTAGTTATTCTTAGACTATTTATTATTAAGTAATAAGCTTTTTACCATTTACTCTTAATTATTAATCATAATATTATGCATTCTAATGATCGAATTGATCCAATTTGTGTAATGATATTAACTTTTTCAAAAATCAAGAAAACTTTGAAAACATTTTTTTTTAATTTTAACTGGTACTATTATGCCAACCTCCTTTATTTAAAGTTTTTAATAATTTAGTGTTTAAAAATATTTCCTTTTATTGCTATAAACTTTTGTTTTCACTATAAAAGTTTTGGATTGAAAAAGTAATATTGTATTTTAATGGTTCAGTAAATAATATACACTTTCAATAAATTTTACGTTTGATTAATAAATGACTCACCTCATGGTTACATGGATTATTCTCCTATCGCTTTTTAAAAATACATTAATAAATTTAATATACTGTAGGTGTATTAAATCACTAGGCCTATAAGCCTTTCAATAATAATCTCTGAATGATTAATACTTGAACAAATTTTGTGAAACATAGCGTCTGTGTTGATACCCTTCTATGGAAATTATTTTTACTGTTCGAATACTTGAGACTTTTATTATACTTGTATATGTACTATAATGTAGGTATAGTAAATAAATATGTTATTTGCTGATAAAATAGAAATCAAAGCAATCATAAATAATGAACCCTTGTACGTGTAAATAACAATAAATAATGATAAATTAAATTTTGATTAATCTGCTTATGAATCATCATACTTCAATGTCAGTTCTCTAAGCATATTAGACGTTGATAAGGAGAGCTCAGAAGAATTGTAAAAATCTCATAGAGGAAGTTGTGTAAAACTATCTGTTCGCGTGTGAAAAGTGCCTACTGTATTACTGCGACTGTTGACCCCTCAGACACGACCTGTTATGATGTCTGTTATTAATATTTGAGTGCACATTATCAGGGCAGTCGTTCACTAGTCAATCATGCGTAACAGACGTGCGACTTTCATCATCATAGCTGCTGCTGTTTTGGCTGCGTTCTTTGTTACTGCAAATGGTGTTAAACGCAGTGATCTTCAGTGTCCAGAAGATGAGTGCGCAACGATTCACTGTCCACACGATCAAAGCGAATGCCTGTTGGGTCTGGTGCCGGATGGATGTGACTGTTGTCCGTACGGTGTATGCGGTCACAATGAAGGCTCAGAGTGCAACGCTAAAAAGCCTTGTGCAAACACTATGGAATGCGTTAAACTAGTAAGAGATGAACACTTTTAGGAGAAAAAGACACAAATCCCCTCTAGAAATTTTAAAAAGTAAAATTTCAGATCCCAGCTTAATATATGTGATAATCAAAAATTCAATTTGTAATAATTATTTAGTTCGACTTAAAATATTTAACTTTAAAAAAAAAAAAAAACACAACTTTCACTTGACTGTTTGCATAAAATTAAGCCCAAAATTCACCTATAAGGTTGTTATTACCAAATGTAAATATCATTATAAAATTGAAGGACTCATACAAAGATTATTAAAGTTAAAATATATAGTCCCACTAGAGTATTCGAGCTCTATTTTATAAAATTATATTTAACTAGACTATATCAATATAGTTAACATACATTATACTACTAGATTATAACAAATTCTTGTGAGTTAAAAACTCTATTAATATTAATAATTTTGTCGTTAAAATAATTTTTTGGTTAAAATATAATGATTAGGTTCTTAAACCCATGAATATAATAAAAATTAGTGATTGATGATAACAGAAAAATATTTTATAACTTACCTAATATAATTGTACATGCAATTGTGTTTAAAGTCCACATTTTTATAGTATCAATTTAATACATTTTTACAAGTTCAAATAACATTTGAGTAGTAATACAATAATATTAACAAGTAAAACAATAAAAACATTACCTACAAATATGATATCAAATACATATGACATTACATTTTATATGTATACTTAAATATATATTAGTACTAAAAAACAACAATATTTGTGGACAATATTATTAAAGAAGTACACTGAAATTTAAATATATAAGTGGATATTAAACATTAGGGAGTAAAATTTGTTTTAATTTAAAAATTAAGATATCTTTTAATTTTTTAAATTACAAAACTATATATTTTTCTATTTTTACTACCTAAAGGAAGAAGACGAGACAATTTACCGGTGTGTCTGCAAAGAAAAGGAAATTGTATGTGGATCGGACAATTCAACGTATTTGACAGTTTGTCATTTAAACGAAGTTTCCGCTAAACTTGGCAACAATAGTTTATTGTTGATACAATACTTGGGACCTTGTACCAGAGGTAAAGAATTAAAAGTATATTATAAGTCCTGACTTATTTTATATTTATAGTATTAACTATAAATATAAAGCAATTATACTTTAGAACTTAATACATATTGTATTGTAATAATTATTACCGAATCATACCATAATTAACAAATCAATGAGGGATCTTAGTAATCACACTTTATTAGTTTATTACTTATAAAAAAAAAATTTCCCTGTAGATAGGGGATAAGAATACTTCCACGGCCCCTCTGCCAGTCGTAAGAAGCGACTAATGAGGTTGCGTCAGGTCGACAGCTGGTGTAAAATTTTTGTTAAATGGTATGAGGTGTCCTGAGCAAAACAAAGGCAAATTGTCCTATCTCGGATGTACGCGGGGACAACAGGAAGAGTAACAGAAGGTTTTCGGGTAAGAGTAGGAGTCCATCGGGGTTCTGCTTTAAACCTTTACTTATTTTCTATAGTGATGGATGAAATTACTAGAGAAATACAAGGAGAGGTGCCCTGGTGCATGTTGTTTGCTGACGATATAGTGTTGATAGGAGAAAATAGGGAGGAAATTAATCAAGGGCTAGAAGTATGGAGATCAGCTCTTGAAGAAAAGGGTTTAAGAATAAGTAGGAGTCAGACAGAGTATATAGAGTACGAGTTAAGACCAAAAAAGATATGGAGAGATGTTATTGAATGCGACATGAGGACAGCTGATGTGAGCGTAGAGGATGTGGGAGATCGTGTCAACTGGAAGTTTAGGATAAGGGGGCCAACAAGTAGTTGGGATTAAGGCGAGAAAGAAAAAGAACAAGACTAATAAAAAAAATAAATGGGTAAAATGTACTTTGAATTATTGTTTTTCAAAAAATATATTAAGTGTTTTTTAAAATAATACAATAATGTGCATTAGATTCGACATTGATGAGTTTATCTCAGTTGAATGAGGGTGAATTAAGTATTATATAATTAAAAACAGAAGGAAAATATACTATTAATTTATATATTTTTGGTTGTTATATCCTCTAAATGAATAACATAAAATTAGTTTTGATAAATAAATAACAATAATGTTATTTACAGAACCAAGTTTTAATTCATTTCCTAAAGACGTTTACAGTACTATCGGCCAACCAGTAATATTTGAATGTGAAATCAAAGGGTTTCCGGTACCAAATGTTAGTTGGAGTTTTACAGATACAGCAATTGTTACTAAATCATTACCGGGTAAAAATATTTTAAGTAATAGTAGACATATTCTTGAAATTATTTGTAAGAAACAATCGTTTATCATTATTTTTTATATCATAGTTATCACTAAATTTGCGTTTCATTTTTTTTTTAATATTTCTTTTAAGTAAAATTGAAATCCAGCCAGGGTTTGATTATCAGTTAGTTTACTTAGTATAACTATACATACACGTTTAATCAATAGGGGTGGCCAGAATCGACAAAACCTTTACACTAGCGTGCGTTTCCTTAAAATACGCAACAAAAATCTATACATTATCTCAACATCATTATCTTCTGTCAACTGGATTATTAAGTAACGCGATTGAAAGTTCACTCATCTGGATAGATGAGCTTAAAAACTTAGCCGAGTCAATACAATTTCTTATGCATAAGTACGTTTGCATGTGTGTCGATATAATAATGCCTCCGTTGTAATGGGTAGATAGTTAATGTCTGAGACAATAATAAAAGTCAGTAAATCGTAAAACCGTGTGAAATAAATTTCTGATTTTTATGCACTTCAAATGCAAACCAAAAGGAGACACTTCAAAATTACACTGAACATTTCACTATAGCGTTAAATAATAAAACACAAACTTTTTTCTTTATCTATACATGTTAAAATCATAATATCACGCATATAAAATTTAATATATTCCTTGTTATATGCTACTTTTCAGTCTTTTTTTTAATACTTTTTCTGTAACCAGTCCTACTACACAAATAAAAGTTAATAAAATAAGATAAAAATATTGTTATATGGCAATCAACCCACTTATAACTTGAAAAAACTGTATTGATCCATAAAAATACTCCAAGAAATTGAACTTTGATATAATATACTGTATCACTGTAGAAACGTCAAATATAAAAATAAAAAGTAAATTAGTGTTAAAAAATTCTCCAATATAAAAGTATTACTTGTACTGCAACGGCTGAAACCGACTTATTTTACATAAAAAGAAATATTCCAACGTTTATAAAATGTAATTTGACAACAAAATTGGCTCGAATAACAAAAATGGAGTTCAATAAGAACACATAACACGTGTAATAACTTCTTTAATGCTGCGTTTCTTTTGTTTTAGTCTTGGATGTTTACAAATCGTTTTCACTAAGAGAATGTGACATTATATTTTTTCTCGTTGGGACCCTTTATGCTTATTAAATTAAAATAGATTATTCCGTCGAGTCAAGACTAGTCAATTTTATTTTTATAAAAATGGATCATTATTGATTTTTTTGATTTGATATATAGGTGACGATATAGCAATAGCGATACAAACCAGAGGTGGACCAAATCGCTTTACTGTCACATCATGGGTACAAATTTTAGATTTCAAACCTGAACACGTGGGTAACTATACATGCATAGGCACTAATTCAGAAGGAACGTCAATGGCTTCTGCAAAATTAGGTATAAGAGAAATATTTTAGTGTTATAATATTTTTATTTTGAAATTTTTTTTATAAATTTATTACATTTTGAATTTTAAGATTTTAATCAAATGAAATTTATATAAAAAAAATAAATTTTATGAATTAATGACTTTTTTTCAAAATTATTATAAAATGATAAACAGCAATTGTTTTTATGAAGCGTCGAAATACTCCTTGCAAAAGCATTGGAAAAAATAAAGCCGGGATTTAGTGTAATTATTTATAAACAACAATATTATTAGCTTCATAAATATAACATTGGAAAGTTAAATGTGATTTATTTAAATCATTCAAATAATAGTTTGATCTAACGTAGATTTCACCTATATTTGCTAATATACATTAATTAAACATAAAATTTTACACTCCTTAAAGGGGTGAAATTAGTGATTTATTAAATTACCATCTGAATAAGTTCTTAAGTACATTATTGAATCTAACTAAATAAATTCCTTGAAATAATTATATAAATCATCATCTTCTTCATCTTTTACCTCATTTTTATCCCAACAGCTTGGGATCGACCGATGATTAAAAAACTATATAAATGAAGTATAAATTATATAATATAATGTTTAGAATAATGCACATTACCAAATTTTTGGTAATTTGCACACGTGTGGCGATACAATTTTATCAATTTAAAAATAAATTAATTAATCAACAAAAATTATTCTATTTATATTTAAGAATAATAAAGACTCAACTTAAGAACAACAAAAACGTCAATATTATACTTATACATTTATACATACAATAAACACGTTATTAACTACATTACTTACAACAAAACATTTAATTAATTAATGAAATATCATTTTATAAATGATCTAAAGTTGTCTTCAGTCATTTGTGGATTTTTCTTCTTTCTCAGCTTCTTTCATAACTGCTAAGCCTTTATAGAAAAGTCCTCCGAGTAACGCGACAACTGTAAATCCTTGTGCAGCAATACGTCCACGCATCATCATCTGAGATCTCATTTTGTCTCCTCTATACATGTCTCTTAAGCCATAACTTAAGAAACCGACAGTTAATAAGGCACCTGAAAAATTTGAATAAATTATTATTTATAATGAGTTATAAATAATAATACTTTTATTGAATATAAATTTTAAAACTCATAAAATAATAAAGGTATTTTAATAAATATTTGTTTTGAGTTAATAGGCAAGCAAAATGTCAGGTTAATGAGATTTCTTTGAGAGAAAAACGAGCAGTCTACTTTGCATAAACATTTTTTTTGATAGTAACCCACTCTAAAAGTAAATGGAAAATTAATTTATTGATATAGCAGGATGGGATTGATAAGATAAGCTACCGATATAATCTTGGTAGACCACTTTAATAAGGATATAATCTAATAAGAAATTTTAATGGAGCTATTTTCATTAGACCTTGTATTTCTCTAAAAAAGTATAGAATGAAAAATGATTAAAAATAAATCTAAAAATTACTACAGTGTTAACTTATATTAAAATTGTTATGTTTACTCTGGAAAGACTAATTTTTTATTTTTATAAATAATATCCCAACATTAAACTTCTATGTATGCTACTACTCTATACTTCACTTTTGTTATTGATAAAAACCTCGCACTTTATAAATAGATATGAACAGCCTAAGAGATATATACAGTATGTTTATTAAACATACTGTTCAATTAATTTAAACATTGTTTAAAAAATGAATTAATGTAAATAATTGCTGTTTAAGTGATGTATTACAATATAATATAACTTTCAGAGAAACTTTGAAAATTACATTATAATTTATAAAGTTTTTACAAAATGGTATAAACTATAGTTGTATATATCAGTAATCGTACTAGGTTTGGGTGTGATTAAATTAGAAGTGATAAATAAAAAAACAACTCTTCATAAAAGTATTCTTAATCAATGCATGCATATAATAGAGTGAAATTTTAATTTAATAAATTCAAAAATGTATGTTTAAAATCTTTTTAACTGTAATAAAATGATTTTATCAATAAATTAACATTATTCACTTCATTAAGCTTAGTTTTAGAGAACTAAAATAGTTTATACAAAAACAAATTATTCCCCTTAGAAGTTATATTTATTTTAACTAGAAGTATTCTTTTGTGTAAACTATTTAATTTATTTAATTAAATTAACGACACACAAATATGTACCCAAATAGTGAGTTAAAGTGTTAAGATAAATCAAATATTATTATAAAATATTTCCTCTCACTTTCATATCTCTTTTTCTTACATTACTGTCTCAGATTATTCCCTATATACTCATTGCGTGTGTCTCTCTAGTTTTTAACTTAATTCAATCACATAATATAAAATTTACATTTATTAAAATATTTAACACTTCTATAATTCATAAATAATACTCTTCCTATTAACATACCTTGTATAATTTAAACAAACTCTTTGAACAACTACAAGTCAACAACTGAGATTCTATTATCATCAGTGAATAACAGGTTAGAGTAGTTTTAACACTCTAATTACAAATATTAAGTAATAACTAAGATCTATCCCTCTTTATGAACTGTGCTTTTTATATCTATATCTCACACTATTTACCATCTTTTTTTTGGTTATTAGAATACATATCTGAAAACAATAAATTATTATAGTAATAATTCAAAAATCAAGATACTACATAATTTAACCTTGTGGGAATAAAATTTAAAAAAATATTTTTCAAAATGTTAGTCAAAACTTTCATTTATTTAAATTATCAGTCTTTACCATTATGAGGTCTTTTTTTGTTTGGAGGAAAGGTGAATATTATATATTCCCTCCCATGACAAGATCTTTCTTAGGCCTCTGGTATTTAATTCAAATATTTTATCTGAAATATTTTTGAAATTAAAAAATTTTAATGAGGTCAAATAAACATAATAATATCTTTTATAATTAATTCCAAAGTTTTACTTAAAATTCAATTTTAAATTCCTGTCTCATAAGAAATTAAACAAAAAAAGGTCATATTTTCTATGATTTTTCTACTTATTATTCTTTATCACACCTTTATGTTTTCCATTATTTATATTTAAAAAATATTTACACCATGGTCAAGTCCTCACTTTTTTTATTTTATATAAATTTGGAACAATCTAGCCTAACTCTGGTTTTTACGTTTAATGTAAAATATGTGAAATAATTTTATCCAACTTTATTGTATTTTTTAAAATTTACAAATAATAATTCTCAAATTATTATTCTTGGTAGTATTTTTAAATGTTTTTAACAAGCAAATATTTTTTATAATTATCTTCAACATTCAAAATTTTCTTCCCTTCAATAAATAATAATCTTATTACTAGATATACTTTATATACACGATGATGATATGTAATTACTTTTTGAGTAATAAGCCTCTTAAATCTTATGAATTATTCAGTTATGCTCTTTAGCTGTTGGATAATCTTATAATATTAAAAAAATATATATAACTGATTAATTAAAATACATTGACTTACCAATAGGCACAAGAGGATTTTCTTTGAATTTCCTAAGAAATTTGTTACCGGGATCTTCCATTTGAGACCGAATAACAAAGTCGGGAGTTTTACCTTTGTCAGTTTTTATTTTTAACCAATCTAGACTTGCTAGTTCATTTTCTGTTTTAGAGTTTTTTTCAGACATATTTATGCGTATGTAACACTGGTCGGTTCAGTTGTAAAAAATTTTTTTATAAGTAGTGAATATTATAAAAAAAAACCGAAAATGTTTCACCACACTTGATAACATCAATATTATCATTAAAAATATTACCAAAGATTATGGTTATCTACTAGGTTTGTTATCATTGTTAAAATAGCGTTTGTCTGCAACTAAAGCGCTAGTAGTAAATTACCCCATTTTAACATACTAGTAATAAAAAAATTATTTATATATAATTTATACATTAAAAAGGATATTTACAAGCAAATTGATCATAACAGTCATTATTTAAATTCAAATTTTTAATCAAGGGAAATTAATTTGAATTCTCTATGTTAAAAGTTACATCAATGATTAAACTATTTTATACTCAATTGCCTAACACTTTAATATGGAAAAAATTATTAATTAAAATATTACTAAGAAATGCATATTTTTACAACCTTTTTAATGATTATAATACTCAAAAAATAGTTATATTAAAATATTATATAAAGGAAATCATATAAACATATTATAATATAATACATTTTATTTAAACATTGTGCCATTATTTATTAAATTTATGTAGAACTTGAAAACTTTTTTACTAGCAGCATAACATTTGTCCATGCAATGAATGTATGTAAGTTGTGAAAAATGTCCAGTTGTGTATGAAGACAAAAGTTCTCTATTTTCAGAATTGGCAAAAACTAATGTAATATAAGCTTCTGAAGACTAAAACACATTAAAGCAAATTTAAGAATTTGTGTACATATATCAAATATTTAAGCAACTTTTTACTGAAAAAATATATAATAGTAAAAAATACCTTAATCTTAGACTCATCTGGATTCAAAATTATTTCTTCATTTTCTAGAACTGCACAGCTAACAGCAGCAAAAACATGATTCATAGCAATACCAGAATTCATTAGTGCTAAACATGAAGCATTCAAACTAGTAGATAATAACTAAATGATAAATAATAATTAATGTGTTATCATTAATGTATTTTATTAATATAAGTAATAAAAGATAACAAACTTACATTTCCTCTATCTTGCATTTCTTGAACAATAATTGAAATAGATGATCTTGGGTATTGTTCTACATTGATGGATTTTTCTATTGTTGATTGCATTATACTCTCTAACATCTTGTCATAAACAGCTAAAAGTATATAAAGTAATAATAATATTTCTTAATTTAATTTTAAGATTAAATAAAAAAATATTGTAATACTTATGCTCCCAGTTTTTCTTCTAAATTTTACATCAACAATGGCTCTATCATATAATATCTTACTTGCTTTTGGTTCATAAGGTCCTACAATTGATACAGATACTGTGGTCAAACCTAAATTCAAATATTGCATATTAAAATTTTTGTATAATATAACTATTATAAATAAAACCTTGAGAAAGAAAAGCAGATCCTTCCGCGTTACCAAGAAATCCTAACTGACATTTCAAGAAACTTTTAGCCATTTTAAATAAATGGTAAAAATTATTTTATTTAAATAATGTAATAATTTATATTGTTTTTTTTAGTTTAGTTTATCTATGCATTATTATATAAACATAAATTAATTGAAAATACTTAATCAAAATTTAAATTTAAATTTGAATTAATGTCAAAGCAGAAAAATTAATCATTCAAGTCAACATTAAAACAAAAACAAACATATAAAATTTATTTTCTTAACCTTAAAAACTTAATTTTCAACATAATTCAAGATAAGAACATATTGTTAACAATTTTTTTTACGTGATATTAATTGATAAACTTTCTAGAAATCAATGTCTAATGATAAACTTATTGAAAATGTCAAATTTGTTCTATAGTACTTCGTTACGTTGTAGACTATTCTAGTTTTCTTTATTTTTACTTTAAAATGCTAAATTTAGAGCATTTTTTAAGAATATTTCTGTTTAGTGTTATTTAATTTATAATACTATTATAAAATTTAATCAATAAAAAAATGACTTTCTATAAGCTTTAATATTTATTTATTATAATATTCCTTGTAAATACTATACCTAATGACAGATTATATTGTAGTTGACATTAATAAATATGTCTGAGGATACTATAACAAGATCTCACCTCTCAACCATTGAGTGGGACATGATGGACAAAACCAAATTTTTACCTTTAAGTATGCTAAGTTCATTTTCAGTTCGTGCCACTCTGTATCCATTAACATTGATCAAAACACGATTACAAATACAAAAGCATGGAGAATTGTATAAAGGTATTAAAGATATTTTATCTATTTTACTATACATCCTCATTCTTTTTTATCAATATTACTTTACCATTTTCTTAGGTTTGTTTGATGCAGCTAATCGTATTTATCGTTCAGAAGGCATATCTGGATTATACCGAGGTTTTTGGGTTAGCTCGGTTCAAGTTTTTTCTGGTGTAGCTTATATTGGTGCTTATGAGCAAACAAGATTTATGACGGCTCCATATTTAAAAAATTTACCAGAAGTAAGATCCCTTGTTGCTGGTGGAGTTGCATCAGTTTGTGGCCAAACTATAATTGTGCCTTTTGATGTAGTCAGTCAACATTTAATGATGCTTGGTTTGTCAAATCCAAAAAATAGTAAAGATAAAATAGTGAGTTAATTTAATATTTTTATTTATCATTATTTGACTTTAATACTTTCAATTAAAATTGGAAAACAAATGTTGCAAAATATTGAAATAATTAATGTTTTTCAAAATTTATGTAAGAATAATAACATGCTTAATATCACAAGTTACATTATTAATTCTTGAAAAATATTAAATAAATACAAAAAAATTTATCATCATTGTAGATTAGAAACTTAATTTCTGGACACAAAACTTAACATAGTAAAATTCTTTTAATTTTTCAACCTTATAAGAAAATTTAAAAGAATTAATGTAAATTAATAAGATTTATATATCAATTATAAATAATCTTTTTATTTAATTTTTCAAAAAATAAGGATTTTTCTTATTATTGTCATCTTAAATAATGATGTTAGCAAAAAAATAATTGAGTGAATTATATAAGTTGAGTTTTGTACTTTAAAGGGCTCAGAGATTTATAAAAACTGTAAGTAGTGTGGCCGATTAAAATACATTTAAAAATATGATCTGAAGGTGTTTTTGGTCTAGGGAAATTTTTTGTTTTTGGTATTAAAATTGAATAATTAAGTTGATAAATGCAATTGTATAAGTTTTTGATGATTTTTTGTGTTTCTCTCTGAACTAAATAACCATAACTTACTTAAAGTAAAAGATAACATCATATCATATTATTTAAATCACATATTGACACAATAAGTGATTATAAAGTCACATTTTGAAATATTGAGTTATTATAAATGCTCACTTAGATTAATCATTAATTATATATTTTTCTTATAGATATTTTTCCGTCCTTTGGGTGTCAATTTGGATACTTCAAAATCAAAGTTTCATATAACATTAGATATTGCACAATGTGTATACCAACAAGATGGTTTGAAAGGATTTTATAGAGGATATATTGCTTCAGTATGTACTTATGCTCCTAATAGTGCTCTTTGGTGGAGTTTTTATACTATTTTTCAGGGTGAGCATTCAAAATTATTAATATGATTTACAGGGTTCCACCATGGAACCATTATTTTGTGTGAGGCAACTAATAGAAAAGTTTAGGGAAAAAAAGAAAAAGGTTTGTATGGTATTCATAGATTTGGAGAAAGCGTAACATAAAGTACCAAGAGAGGTAAAAGTGGGCATTAATGAGAAAAGGAGTCCCGAAAAGGTACATTAATATAATAGAGGATATGTATAGCACTTGTACTAGAGTAAATAGTGTGGGAGGAGTAACAGAAAATTTTCGGGAAAAAGTAGGAGTGCATCAGGGTTCTGCTTTAAGCCCTTCCTTATTTTCTNTTTCGGGTAAAAGTAGGAGTGCATCAGGGTTCTGCTTTAAGCCCTTCCTTATTTTCTATAGTGATGGATTAAATTACTAGATAAATACAAGGAGAGGTGCCATGGTGCATGTTGTTTGCAAACGATATAGTGTTAATAGGAGAAAATAGGAAGGAAATGAATCAAAAGCTAGAATTGTGGAGGTCAGATCTTGAAGAAAAGGGTTTAAGAATAAGTAAAAGTAAGACAAAGTATATAAAGTACGAGTTTGACAAAGGAGATCACAAGGTAGGTGAAATAAGGAGACCAGTGACAATTGGTGAGGACCTGATTGGAGAGGTGGAAAGTTTTAAGTATTTAGGATAAGTTGCGCAAAAGAGCGGTGGTATTGACGAGGATGTAAAACACAGGATTAAGTATGAATGGTTGAAGTGGAGAGAACCGTCTGGTGTCTTATGCGGTTATAGAATTCCAATGAGGCTGAAAGGTAAATTCTACAAGACTGTAGTGAGGCCAGCTACGATGTATGGTTCAGAGTGTTGGGTGGTTGATAAGAAAGTAGACAATAAGACAATAAGTGTATCAGAGATAAGAATGCTTAGATGGATGAGTGGAGGGACTAGAGAAGATAAGATAAGAAATGAGCATATAAGAGGGAGTATAGGTGTAGTGTCAATTGTGGATAAGATGAAAGAAAATAGACTTCAATGGTTTGGTCATGTTATGAGAAGAGAAGAATCGGAAGCCGTAGAACAGCTGTAGAAATGAATGTTGAAGGAAGACCAAAAAAGAGATGGAGAGATGTTATTGAATGCAATATGAGGACAACTGATGTAAACACAGATCATGTGCGAGATTGTGTCAAGTGGAAGTTTAGGATAAGGGTGGCCGACCCCCAAGTAGTTGGGATTAAGGCGAGAAAGAAGAAGAAGAAGAACAAGACTAATAAAAAAAAAAAAATGGGTAAAATGTACTTTGAACTATTGTTTTTCAAAAAATTTCAACCATTTACACAAAAAATATATTTTTAACATAGTCTAAAACTATATATACAGGGTGTTTAGTAAGTTAGGAAACAGTTAAATTGTTACAAACAATGAGTATAATAGAAATTCGTTTCCTTATTTACTGAATACCCTATATATATATATATAAAGAAACATTAACTCTTAATATTCTCTAGGTAAAACATTTATAATATGTCAAAACCATTCTGTATATATAGTGATTTTATTGACCACTAAATTTCTCCTAAAATAATAATTTTTAAAAAAAGATTTTTTTTGTTTAGTATTATTTATCTTTTAATTTTGAGTATTTAAACATTTTTTAGGTCTATTCCTTATCTCTTTTTTGGGTATGAATTTTTTTAGTCGGAAGTTCATATAATAGAAAATGATCTAATTAAGAAAATAATTGATTGATTACAACTTTTAAACTAATATTTTTGAAGTTATTAACATTTCTAAATAAAAATTAGATGTGAGATGTGGATTATGTTATTTTAATTAATATGCATCACATTGACATCATGCTTCTTTTACTTTCCAGGTATAAAAATACTCTCATAACTCCTGAACTCCATTTCAAATGTTGTTAATGATGAGTAATTTTCTTGGTTGGATCAGTTTATATTATATGATGAACTAGTTAAAAATGTATATTATCAAAGTACAGAAGAAAAAGTTAAAAGTTCTTTTAAATCTTTTTAAATATTAGGAAAACTAATAATTTCAAAAATATTCTAAGTTCTAAGTTAAGAAATTGGACAATTTTTAAACAGGAATTCAGATATTAAGCAAAATATGTAAGTTTAGAATTCTTTGCTTCATTGAGTAACATATGTTTAAAAAAAAAACCCAGCACAAGGGGTCACGGCACAGTGGTGACGTGGCATAGTTGGATTAAGTATAATGATATCTGACAGTGATTACAATCACTATCAAAAAAAAAAAATGCTTCGATGCAAATCTTTAGATAGTGGTTAATTTTTAAAAAAGTTGGTGGATTATTCCAAAAGCTACATGATCTGCTATTTCCTTATTAATATCCTGATTAAGATAAAGTATGTCGAATGAAAAAGGGATATAAATATTATTTCTCATAAAAAAATTGTGTTGATCCATACACTTTTCAATAAGTTATAGCATTATAAAGTTAAAAATGTAAAAAATAAAATCGAGAATTTTCACACAAAAATAACATTCGGTAGCCATTTTCACCGTGAAGACAAAATAAAGTCTGAAATTTTTTTTCTATAATAAAGTTCATTACATTAGCTTTAATTTATGATATATATAAAAGTGTCAGACTTTTCGGAACACTTTCAAAAGTTGAAAAAGTTGTCATTTTAAATACCCCTTGTAGGCAGGTAAAAGATCAAATTTGTAAAAAAAATATTCCAAATGATAGGTAGAGACATCATGCATCTAAAAAAAAAAATTATATTGATTTGGTCATTTTTGAAAAAGTTATGGCAGTTTTAAGTAAAAAAAATTGAAAAAATTTAGAAAATTAACGATTTTTAAATTTGTAATTTTGTTGGAGGTTTCTCCCATTTATTGGGAACGAGGGAAATTTTTTTAATTTTTGAGAGTAATGTCTACAACTAGATATGATTAATGATCTTTTGACGTATCATTGAAAGAAATTGGTTCGGTGAGAGCTGAGAAAAAGTGGTAACAAACACAAAAAAAAACACATCATAGTAAAACTAATACATTCTCATATATATTAGCATATCAATGCTAATATTTATGTTTTTGTAAATAATGAAGGAAATCATTCTAAATTTACATATTTTGCTAAATATTTTAATTCCTGTGTTTAAAAACTGTCTAATTTCTCAACTTAAAACTTTGAAATTATTGGTTTTCTTATTATTTAAAAAGATTTAAAACAATTTTAATAATACCTAATAATACATATAAATCATATTTGAAGTGATTAAAGAAATATGTTAAAATGAATATATATTTTAATATTAATATATTATAATATTTTCTGCATTTTTAGAAAATTAGTAAAAAAAAATAAAAATAATAATAAACCTAATATATTTTTTAGAACAACTTGAAAAAAGGTTACCTCTTAACACCTCACTATTATTTACACAAAGTATATCAGGGGTTTTGGCTGGATTCACTACTACTTTAATGACAAATCCAATGGACACAATCAGGGCTCGTTTACAAGTATGTATAGAAGTTTTGTACTATAAAAAATATGCTTTTACTCATACAATTACTAATAATTCTTAAAATTTTCTGATTAAGAACGTCTTCTTTGAGTAACTACTGTTTCTTTATTATGGGTGTATAAATTTAAAAGAATTATTTGTTTATTATTAATTTTATATTAATAATTTTATCAATTTTTTTGATATATAGGTTCAAAGAACAAATTCTATCATCAAAACATTTAAAAGTCTTTGGGACGAAGAAAAAATGATGATGTTTACTAAAGGACTTTCAGCTAGACTTGTACAGTCTATTTGTTTTAGTTTTACTATTATCTTAGGTTATGAAAGTATAAAACGTGTAAGTGTTCTTCAAGAATATAAAGATCGTGTAAGATGGTAATGATGAAATTATATTTTTAATCTAATTTTTATTATGTAAAATATAAAGAAGTGATAATTTAAAATAGTTAGACATTTTTATTTTACAATTTACAAATTTTAATTTTGTATAAAAATGATTTTTGGTTACATGTTGATTTTTTGTTATAATATTAGTACTATAATCTTTATCTATCATCATTGATAATATTTAATTAATGTTATATTTTTAACCACCAGTTACCTACTTTGTTTTGTTTGTTGATTCAAAAAATTACTGTTTTCACTTTTAGATACTTTGTGGCTTATAGTAATAAAATAAATGCTTTTTTAAAATCAATTTTTCTTTTCTTTGAAAAATCTTATTTTTATATTTTAGTTATTGAATGTACTTTTTATAAATATTAAAAAATTCATAAAAATGTTTTTTAATTGAATTTTAAATGTATTTATATTACACTATAAAAAATTAAGTTTTTACTTCTATTGTATAGAAAGAAGCTTGATTTACATAATGTCTGTATTGAATAAATTTATTATATCATGAAATTAAAAAAAAAAAAAAAAATTTTATGTTTAATTCATTTTTTAATTACAAAGCTTTCAGAAATAGATGATATAATTTTGTTTTCGTACTTTAATTTATTGCTTAATTAAAAACATTTAAATATTCTTAATAAAGAATTTAAACCTGAAAATTATTTTTAATATACAATGCACCTAGTACTACAAATAAATAATTTCAATGTATTATCTGGCTGTATTTGTAATAAATAAACTAATATATATTAATATTTGGCATCCTAAATGTCAAATTAAAAATAAAATGAAATTATTTTGTTAATTTATTATTTGTACACACATATCTCAGTTTCTACTTAAAATAGGCTTTTTAAATTCCATGTATAGATTAAGCTCTAGTAGCTTAAATCTATAAAAAAGTTAGCCCTTAATGTTTAGTCTTTTTAAAATGGGAGTCATTCAAATTTTGCACTTTTATTTAAAATTTTATTCAAAATATTTAACTTAAAAAATGACTAAGAATTCGCCGATACCTATTTTGAGAACAATCTCACCATTTTTGTTGCTAAAAAACATTGTAAACACAAACTGTTTTTACAAACCTTCCACTATTGTTATTCACTCACTCATCATCAAAATTATAAGAAACTTTTAGTATAGGTAGAAACATGACATTTAACATAAAGGTAGGTCTTAAAGTGTAAGTAAAGTGAAAATTGCATTTTTCTTAAATTTAATTAAAAATTATAATTCTGAAATTATACTTTAATTTTAATATATTATGTATTACTAATTATAATTTATAATACATAAAAAATAGCCGATGCTCGATTTTGTATGAGGATTAGAATAATAGAATAATATACAATATCATCGAGATGTTCTGTGAATCAAGCTTACGGCTATTTGTTTTCAATATTCCACCTCTATTTGTTTAAATGTATATTTATATCAGGAGCGTCATTGGGGTCGCAAAGTGTGCATTTGCACTAACTTTTTTTAAAAGACTGTTATTTGGCCTGCTAAAATATAAACGACGCGCCGGTTACATTAGCTAAAAAAATTATAAAATAGTATTTAGAGGGAGATTATAACAACGGGACACGGACTAATAGTCCGAATAACATTATCGGTTACTCGATACTCGTTACATCGTGATATTGAAAAAGTAACAAAATTGATAACACGCCATAAATGTTGGTATTTCCATCAAAAAAATCTAAAAATAGCATTAATTGTTTAAATTTTAAAACTTGTAAACTCCGTTTATTTAAATTTATCGATAAGGAATTAATCGTGAATAATTCGTAATATTCATTCTACATTCTAGAGATGGAAAGTTTAGTTCATTTCTGTGAATAGTTCATTAGTTCATAGTTCATTCAAGTGAATAGTTCAAATGAACTATTCTTAAGTTCACTAATTTTATTGATCATGCTGATATTGTTTGGCAATGAACTATTCATTTTATCACTATTAGTATAGCAGTACACGGTTCAGTTATAGTTCACACTACTTATGGGCAATTAAGTTATAAACTAACCCTTAACCTGAACATCATAAACTAAGAAAAAATTATTATTAATACCCTCATGGCTCATGTTATCATTATCACCTAATTCAAGGTAGATATACTGACCAGTAGTCATAAGTTAAATCAGAAATCTGATCTAATATTTGTACATAGTATGAATTTATTTTATTGTTAAACAGTTAAAAACCGTGTAACATTTTAACAATATAATTTATTTGTTATCTAATTGTAAACAGCTATTAACCATTTACAGTATTTCGAACAACGAACCACAAAGAATTTTTAAAAAAGTTCGCGAACTATTTCATTTATACATTGCTACCAATTTTTTTCGAACTGTGAACTGTTAAGTTACAGGTACTGAAACAGTTCAGAATAGTTCATCTAAGTGAATAGTTCAAATGAACTATTCGTTCACGAACTTAACATCTCTACTACATTCAGCAATTGTACAATCATTAATCTTGTTTTGGTTTTATGTTGCTTATATTTAAAATATGGACATTTAAAAGAGAAAAAGAGATGCTCTTCGATTAAGAGAAACCAATAAAAAGCTTTTTTCATTGGTAACTGCTTCCAAGAGTAATAATTTACTAAGTATGTTTTCTACAAAAACAAAAACCAAATAATTATGTAAGTATAATAGTATAATGCTTTTTGACGTTTATACAATCACCTTGTCATAACATTTGTATTTAAAAATTTTACCTTTTACATAAATACTCCCATTATGCTTTAGACTGTGGTTTGATTAATATACTACAAAATCTTAATTGGTTTTTTTATTCCTAGTTTAATCAGTATTAAAATTAATATAAATAGTTTTCCTTTGAGTAATAATCTAGTTAGGTTTGTTCAATTTTATACTTGATAAATTTCAACCCAAAAATATTATGTTTTTTAACTACAGCAGCCATTAGCACATGAAAGATAAGGAATACTGGGACAAATTTTTTTTAACTTACAGTACATAATATAAGCATAAATTTAGCATTTGTCTAATGAACGTAGTATTTCCAGAATATTTTCAAAAGTCACATTGAAAGAGTTACATTTATGCAAAAGTTGCTATTTTCAATCCCTCCTGTGAACAAACGAAGGGTCAGATTTTCAAAAATGTATGTCAAATAAAAGATAATACTTAAACTATTTATATGAAAAAAATTATTTTGATTTGTTCATTTTTTCAAAAAGTTATGACAGTTTTAGAAAAAAATGTCGAAATTTACCGATTTTAAAAGTTGTTCTTTCTTGGAGACTTCCACCATATACGGAGATTGAGGAAAAAATAAACAATTTTGAACATAGTAATAAGTGTTCTTACAATAAACACAAAAATAAATAAATAAACATGTTATGTTGTGTATGTTATCAGTAGTTGATATTGTTGTATTATATGGTTAACACTGTATTATTCGTTTAAAGCATAAACTAACATTATACATACACATTAGGTTTTATAATTATTAATCATGTTAAGTTAAGTTTATTGTAAATTAAAGTTCCTTATTTTAAATTAAGATATTCATAACAAAGTGACGACGAGAATAAAACAGGTAAAATGATGAGTGTAGCAATTGGAAATATGGAGCTGTTCGACCCAAGCGACGACGACTGGGAATTATATACGGAAAGATTGGACATATTTTTAACGTGAAATAATATAGTGGCAGCGAAATAAGTTCCAACGTTGTTGGCAGTAGTAGGTAAAAATAAATACAAAATACTAAAAGACTTATGCACGCCTCAAAAACCGGATGAATTGACTTACAAACAAATCAAAGAAAAGTTAGGATCATACTTCGATCCAAAACCACATTTCATATCTGAAAGAATTAAATGTAATAACATGACTAAACAGAAAGCGAAAAACATCCGATATGAATTCAACATCTTATAATCATATAAGAGATACATAACAAAACACACGTTATGGTAAAATTAATATCTCCTCAGATTCGCATCCAAGCTATAATTTTCACGGAAAAACGTTTTTTTCTTTGTTCAATTATATAATTATTGGTTGATATATTTTTAATTGTGACTATAAATACAAAATTATTTACTGAATAATTGAACATCTTGAAAGATAATATTTATATCCCTTTTTCATTCGACATACTTTTTTTTTTAATAATATCATTTCCTTTTATATATATATATTTATTTATTTATTTCAATTTAATTAATAATAATAATTACAATTTTCATTGAGATTTTTATGAGTATGTCCTCACTATTGCGTAGTTTGGCTCGATGTTTACTTTAAATTTAGAGGAAGTAAGTCATCCATTTCATGTTTTTATTTCTTAAATATATATCTACGTTAAATTATTGTGTTTATACGAAATGATAAGACTCCGTATAATATGTGGCGTTTTCTCAGGTATAACTCGTTTTTGAAAGGTAATTATTGCTTTTTGTATGATTGTGTAAATTAGTTGCTACAATATTTAGTAATCTGCAATTTTGGTTTATAGATGTTTGTAATCAGAATAAATATGACTATTTAGTATATCTTAAAATCATTATATAGATAGTTTTTAATGACTCAAAGCCTGAATGATAATAAAATTTTAGTTTGTATTTATTTGGTACGCCAACATTTTATTGCTATTCGAGTTTGTTTCACGAAAGATGTATCATTTGTCGATTTATATTCTTATTTACCTCTAAGATTTTAATGAAAAATGACTACAAAAATAAAATAAATATACACATAATGCAATAAATGCTCAGTTGTTAGATATATAACTTAGCCTACAGGTGCCTGAACATTCACGAAATAAATTATAAATGAGGATAAATATAATTAAATATTAATAAAATCACATAATTTTATAGTTGTTATTAGTAAAAATGATATCTGTATCTTGAAGGATTATAATTGTTTAAGTTAAAGTGAGTAATATTTGCTCCATTTATAAGCCTATTTCTTCATACTATGTACTAGATTAATTATGGAATAATGAATTTATTTAAATAATCGGTTTTACAAATATTATTAAACGATTTTTATTAAACTTGAACATACAGCTGACAAGTAAATATAATATGTGTAACTAGAAAATAAAATTATTCATCTACAACTTATCACGCTGGAAGTAAGAATTATATAAATTCTATTCGTGTAATAATTAAAAATTAAATGGTATTAATGCATTAAGTGTCAAAGTTACATAACTATTACTTAAATTTTTTTGTACATGCATTTTATACGTTATGGATAATAATCGTTTCAAGTTAATATAAGTAGTACATGTTGAATCGATATTTCTAAAATGTTATTTGAATCCATTTTATTTACGTTTTCAGTCCATAAACAAACTTAGGGTCGCCCTCATAAAAATCACCCCGGTGGTGCAAAAATTATTGTCAACAGTATAGGTCATTAAGAGAATTCCCCATACTCCATGTACTAGAAAAACGTGATTTCTTTCCATTAAAATACATAACATGTAATGTAACACAACATCTTAATTTTTGTACTAAAGTAATACTTTAGAAGGATTATAAGCAAGAAAATAAAGGTCATAAAAAGAAAGTTATCAATTTAAAAAAATTTTCCAACCCTCTTTCCAAATGAAAATTTATTTACGTCTACTAAACCACTAAATACGATCTAATATCAATCAATAACTTTATTATATAACATATTCCTTATTAGAACACTAATAACTTTATTATTAACTATTTATAATAAGTCTAGAAATAAACAAATAATACATTTTACTTTTATTATCTATGAAGCTTACAAAGTCGACCCGTGTCCCCAAATAATGCTCCTGATGCGTATTTCATAAAAAAAACAAGGCGAATTTGATCATAGGTAAATTGAAATTTCATTCACTAGTTAAACTTATGTTTTATAATATTCCAGTTGACAAATTGACCTATGACAAGTACAAGTTAAAAAAAACCTATCTTTAAAATATAATGGAAATTATTAATATAATATAATTTTATATTTATTCTTAAACATTTTGAGATTTTTTTTAAATGTGGTCATCTTCATCTTCAAGTTTAGATAGCCATAAATGAGATACTATTTGTACAATTGATTCATTGGTCTAATGTTATGGTAACTGTTGTTCAACGTTTCCATAGTATAGTTTTAATACCCTCAGTCGTAGGTTGTGTTGATGGAACTTCAATTAAAATTGACGCACAATCGACAAATGAATATGTGTTTGATAAGACATCACTATTATTCTGTTACGTGTACAGTGTTTGTGTATTAACTATTTAATATTTTTATGTATATGCTAACTAAAATGGAATAAGTTTGGTGACCAATTAAAAATGGTATTATACTTGACAATAGTGCATATCTTTTAAGAGATTGACTAATATCAACAAAAATAAGAAACCTAAATGATTCAATAAAACTGTCATTTATTTGACGTAATAAAAAAAAAAGACTTATAATAATTATATTATTATTGAAAATGTTTTTGGATTTTTAAAAGAAAAATTAACCTTCAATATATTTCTAGCATATGTTGCCTTATGTAATTTAGCTAGGGACTATGATACAGATATTATGTCATAAGAATATGAAAATAACAATAGCAATGAGGAATTAAGTGATGATAGACAAGACAGAGAATTACAAAATTTTCCATTAGGGAATGGAGAACATGGATTGTAATATATAATTCATAATTTTAGATGATTGAAATTATACTCAAGATCATATTTTTATTATGGCGAAGTAAATTAAATAACATATAGCAAGTACCTAGGTTATTGAATGTTGAAAGATATAATATGAATCAATACCTATTAACATAAAAAAACGCACAGAATATGTACATAAAATTAGTAGTTTAAGTACTATTATGATATTATTGATAAAATGATTATTTTAATGATAAACTTTATAACATTAATGTGAATTTTATATTAACACAAACATAATTATGTTAATTTACTTTAATTATAATTAAAGTAAATTGACATTATTTGACACTTGTTTGTAACTCATTTATATATTATTTAAAGTTCAATAACGAGTACAAATGTAAAATATATATTATATATTAATAAAAACAGTTTGATTATAGTAACTAAATTGAGATATTTTACTTAGGAATGGAATAGTTTTATTATAATATCCTAATATTTAAAGTTTAATAACGAATAACAAGCCCTAATCTAATATATAACCTTGCGTAATATGCATAAAATTTACTTATTTAATTCATCAGTATTATTCGAATACTGTATTCAATATTACTAAATATAGTAATTCAATAATACTAAATCAAATGTATACTTAAAATCCAATAATAATAAATTTTCTAACTAATATTTCCAGAGTTTCTTTGTTGCTTAGTTTTTCAAGCTAATCAACTTAAATTACTTGATGAAAACACTTTTCAATATTTTTAACATTATCATTTGTTGATGAATTTCTAATAACATTTATATTCAATATGCTCGCTGGTGAATTGGACTAATCTAAACTTATATTATCAAGGGTATTTGAATAGGCTACCACAGTCTCATTAGTAAACTTTAATACATTTATATGAGTATGGCCCAAAGAATTTTGTACACCTAAACGCCGTATAATTGGTGATTATTGGTCAATAATGTTAAATCAATTCATCAGCTGTAGTAGGTTTGCAGTTTTTCCCTCTTTCAGAGCTGTTTTAAGTACAATTTTGTGAGCAACAATAAAAAAAATGTGTAAGTAATTATCCATACTTGTACTTTCATAGATAAATCTAGAGACTACAAATATGTAAATCTATTAAATTGTATAAACCGCAATAAAATGTCGTCACATTCTTTTAATATTATAATCCAAAGATATAACTTATTATTGATCTTTATTTATGGTATTGCCTGTATAAAGGTCCAATAATTTTCTTTATTTTCAGACAGTTTGAGATCTACCATTTAAGTAGTATCTAAAACTTTTTCCAAATTATGATTCAAAATTTCGGATTCATAAACCGTAATGTTATCATAAAAATAAAATAAAAAAGGACAGCTAACTTATAAATAGTTTTTAATTTGAAAATTAATTTTTGACTGGAAAACTTTATTTTAAATACAACGGCAAAATTCTTTAAGGTCAACAAAAATTTGCAAAAATTAAAAAGTTTATTTATAGAATAACAATTTTTTATTGTTTAATACAGTGGTCGGCAACCTTTTTTAATTCTCGGGCCACATTTACAAATTAAAAAGAGTTCGCGGGCCAGATAAAAAAAAAAAATTTATAATTACATTATTTATTATGCAAAAAAATACTATCTAAAACTTAAAATAATAATATGACTTATATAAAATACCCGTACCAAAAACGCAACGTTCAATTATATTTATACAAAATGATATTCAATTAAATTAATCGATTTAGAATTTAAAGCGGGCCGTATTTAATAGCCACGCGGGCCGCCGGTTGCCGACCACTGGTTTAATACATACTTTGAATTTTATTGAGTTAAATTACTGATTTAAAAAAATGCTGTATTGGCATAGTAAATAACACGCTTTCCGTATTAAATGGTATGTGGTTTGTATCCACAACTTCGAGAAAGGCTTGTCTGGTTAGTTTTGTGGTGTATAAGTTGGGTAATTGCGAAAATAGAATGATAGAAAAGTAACAATATAATAGACCGCACCTATGTCATCTAAATTATTGACCGGATAAGAAACTCGTATTACAAGGATAGGTCATAGAAAACTTGTAGCAATATCTATTAGAGTATACATTTTTCGTTACTTAAAACTCATAGTAATTTTTATAAAGCTACAAATGATTTAATGATTTTGGCCTTCTAAAAATAAACATCACCTAAACGCTATTATTTAAAAGTTCTAACCTCTTAAGAAAATGAAATTTGTACAAATATTTAACATTGTCATTTAAGTTAGAGAAATAGTTATGTTAGTTACAAAGCGGTCGTTCTGTTAATTGTTTGTGTTGTTTTTTTTTTTGTGGGTTATTATTGTATGTTTATTACAAGTGTCTTTAATTGTAATCATCATTTTAGCGTTTAAACTATTTATAGATGGTTAATAATTAAAAAAATTATCTCGTTCAATTATAATTTTCTTATTAAATATAACATGCGAGAAATTTACATTATTACTATAAAAATAATGAAATGTTACAACGATTTATATATCACGTATTTTTACTACGTTAGAGTACTCAAAAAAACTGGTTCTTCTTGGCGGTACACTTAATAATTACAAAGAATTAGTACTTCTATATCATAACCCGGGTAATACGATTAGTGTTAAAACAAGGACATTATACTAGTCATAGTATTTTACAAGTGTGTTATGTATTTTATGTCTGTATATTTATAGTGCTGTATTACTATATATTTCCGTTCCATCAACTAGCCAAAAAATAACCTAACTGTATAAAGTATGAGAATTCGTTTATATTTTAAAACAATGGAAATATACTAGATTGTACAAAAGTATCACAAATATGATAACGTGTTTTATTTTCAATAGCAAAGTGAAATACAATGCCTCGTACATTTATATTTTCATAGAAATTTATATCTATTTTTGTCATATCTAATTACACTTGAAAATTGATGTGCTGCATTTGTAATCATCAATATAGTTGTTCATTGGATTCATACAACGTGCTCGTATTAACCCCTTTACGGTATACACCAATTGAATATTGACTCAGTAACAACTATTGTCGAAAATGAACTATTATAATTATACATTTTTCCTTGTATAAAAATCCCGTAGATTTTTATTATTCTTTACGGCGCAGAGGAAGTGAAAAAGGGTTTAGATGTTCACTCAGTATGTACAACTAGACAGTGGCGGGCGCACCTGGAGGACGTGGGAGGACCGCTGATGTTCGACGACTGACGGCATGCCGTCGCACTACGTTTACATATTGTGGCTGTAGTAACGTGCGTTCTCCCGGACACTGTTCTCTACCGATGCTTATTCAATCTCCGATCATGAGCGACTGTGTAAATATATGCCGCAGAGAGTTTAATGATTCTCGTTAAAACGTTTTTTAATTGATTTTAACGAGAAAATAACCGAATACAAAAGAGCAAATACCTTTTTAATTAATGCAGTATTTTGGTACGATAAGTTTGTTTTTATTACATTAACAGTTGTTAGATTTTATTTGAAGACCTCATTTTTAATAATAAAGTCGTTTAGTTAAGACGAAATTTGGTGAATCTAACATAATAATATATTATGTTCAATGGAGAACAGATCTCTATCGTCTACATTCAAGTTAAATATTGTTTCTCGTGAGTAAAACCAATCATTTTAATTTTATAAAAAAACCTCGCACAAAACAATACCACTAAGATTACTTTCTAATTAAAGTTATTTGAATACACATTTCATAGGTGAATGGTTAAATTTTTATTTGAAATTTACAGTGTAAAAGTACAAAACCTGTATAATGAAAAAATCAACCGGCGTCCTATAAAAAAATAAGTAGAGGCAAATATTTATATTGTACTAAAAAAGCCTATACCAAGTAAAAGTATACGAAAAGTGATTACGCTTCATCATTCACTTAAGAGAAATGTCATAATTATGATTGCAATTATAAAACATGTTTAGTTTGTTGATTGGAATTTAAATTTAATTGGCCTTTTCATCTCAACATGTAAATTACCATAATTTAAGATAAATTTAAATGTGTAAATGCGATAGTTATTTTTTTAATCTAATACATACAATTATTTTATTAAAAATATTTGTTTTTCTGTTTATAAATATAATGTCCGTTATAAATATAATCCTAAAAATATTTATAATTTTAAAGTTGTTATACCGTTACATTATACGTACAATTGTATATATATATATAATTGAGAATACGTGTAATTATTGTTACTTTGTAATTAGGTTAAACATAATAGAGTAAAAGTAAAACATGAATAATTAAAACGTAAAGCATATATTTTAACAAAAATATTGAAATTTGATCCCTGAGATTCATGTTCGAATTTTTTTAATAATATTGAAAAAATGCATAGGTATCAAGATGCAACTTGATTCTTAGTTAATTCTTAGTAATTTAGCGTAGAATATTGTCTTACAAGCATTAAAACTTATTTTAATTATATTTCTTCACTAGGTATTTCATCTTTCTTTCGTTTGCATTATAACAATTGTCATAAAAATCTGATGTATGAATATTAGTAATCAAATTTTAGTGATAACTTTATTAGAGATCAAAGTTTTACATTTACTCGATATAGGTATATGTTCGTTAAATACTTTATTATTTCCAAAAATAATTTTTATTTTCGACATATAGTTTAGCCTAGTTAATTTAAAAATAGTCTGTCTGAAGGTACGGATATTATTTTGATCAATACCTTGTAGCAGGTGCGTGATTTTTTGTATTATGTATTAGTACACATGTATTCTTTGTGAAACTCCCTAAAAGTCGTTACACTTTTATTGACTCCGTGATATTTAAACGGACACGCACGTTTCTCGGTAGCCCTGCATTGCATATCACTTTGGTAAACATTAAGCTGTAAAAAAGTTTATAATAGTAAAACACAGTCTATAGATACTCGTATTTACAACGGAGAAACTGACAGTTTGTGTAAAATAGAAAACAATCAACTCTACTTTTATCCCGAAAGATGATCACACGCACGCACGCGGAAATTCGAATATTCTGGTTTTACAAAGCGCTTTCTTTCCTGTGACCTCTTTTTACTTCTACACGTAATATTATACTATAAACATACATTATACAATTTTTCATTTTTATCCATTACTGATGTTAAACCATAAATTTGCATTTAAAATTAAAAAAAATATTTAACTCGTAAAGTCTAAAAAAATGATGAATATATATACTTTTATAAAATACTAAATAAGAATTTATACAACTTTATATTATATGAGTGCCCGAATTTTCCAATACGTAATAACATCACTAGGTAATAGCGTTATTTGAGATAACGTCACAAAAGGTTTATAAAGAAGTACTTTTCGGTTGTAGTTTCAGTATGTGTTTAGCGCTGGTGATGGTTTCTGAAGTGTATATTGTCATTTGAAAAAATAAAGTTGACCACCTTTTAAGTCATTAGGGATGATTATAAAAAGTAATTATTAACTGATAAATCAAGAGTTATACGTAATTAAAAGAAATTAAAAATTGTTTTTCCAATATCATATTTATCTTGAAAGTAATCGAGCGGTTTATGATAAACTGATCACTCTGTATATTGTGAATTTTTTCAAGAGATAAACTGTCCAACTTACTATTAAATATTCATTCATTCTTATGCTATACAATTCAGTGATGAAGTTACTCAAATTTATAAAACGTAACTCCAGTTTACACATTATGGTAAAATGTGTTCGAATACTGTTTTTATAAACAACTAACCAGAACAAATAATCTATTGCTTGCGTGTATTATCGTCAGCTAGAAACAAACGTTTATTATGGTTAACTCGACTCGAAATGCAATTAATAAATGCACAAAATGTTGGCACTTTCAATAAAATTTTTCTTTAAATATCTAGGAACCACGAAAATCTGATTATCAAAATTTTATTGTTAAGCCATGACTTGCATGGCCATAATAAATCATGATAATTGCTGTCGTGATAGCCATAGATTTATATATCCAGACGGAACATTTACATTACTGATTTTGTAATCGTGCTCATGGAAGTCAGCTTTAAATTCAAATAATTCACAAAAATAATATCGTTAGGACATTATTTATTTATTTATCCTAAAATACTCTTTAAAAGCTTTTTAGAATGCAGACGCCCTATGAAACATTTTCAAAAATTGAAAATAACGTTTTTTTTAAATTATTTTTATAAAAGTTGTGATATTTTTTAATTGATAACCGATTTTTCATTGTAAACAAGAATCTGGACGAATTTTTTTTAAGGGGTCACTTTCTTCAAATCTTGCTTGTTCTCTTAGGTTTCTCATTGAATTTTTTTAAAGGCTACCAAGAGAAAGCTTATTATCTCTAGTATACTCTATTATTCTATTTTGATCAGTTTTGAAATACAGATGAGTTGTTTTAAAAATTCAATATTTATTAAAGATATATATTTTAAATCAAAACATATAATTTATGTCAATTAAATTTTTCTTAATTTATAAAATATAATATTTGAGTGTCAACAAGTTGATAATATATTATAAACAAGAAAATAGAAAAACTAAAAGCTAGCTACTTTTATTATATGATTGAAAAATTGAAAATAAGGTAATTAATTTTCAGTATTCTCACTGTTAATATATATATATATATATTATATTTAAAATAATTAAATGTTTTAATTATTTTTGATACTCGTAGTATTCTATATTAAGTGATAACGTTGCTAGGTGATATGGTCAGTAGGGGTATATAAGGGTGTTTTTGTTCGGGATGTCAGTATGTGTTTAGTGTTGATAACGGTAACATTGTTCGCAAAATATGTATCTATAATTTTTTTTTAATAATTTTTTGTGGCTTTTTGAGTTAAACTTATTAATATAATTTTACATTTATTATTTATATGAGAAAATATTGTTAGAAAGTAAATAAAAATTATTTCTTTGTTGTGTTAAGTTGTCAAGATTATTGATATACTCAGTTATTTTGTACAGTTTTTATATTTGTAAGTTATTTTGAAAAGATTTTGTGTATCGGTACATAAAAAAATTTTATAAAAGTTTATAATTTATATTGAAATATGTTGGAATATAATATTTTAGTCTAGAGTGCAGGGTTGTTGCGCTTTAAACGTGAAATATTGTTAACGTCTTGAACAGGTTTTTTTTTAAACATGTTTCTTATCAACCCTGTTAAAACGAAATTTATTTTCTAGATCAAAGGAAAATAAGGAGCGGTCAAGGGCCACTAATATTGTTTTCTTTTATTACTGCGACGGCCAGAGACGGTGCACAAGTAACGAAAAAACGATTGCAAGATGTTTCCAAAAAACTGAAGGATAATTTTGCCATAGGCGCTGTATTAATATGCAAAGAGAAAAATGGTACTTCAAGCCTATTATTCATTTTTCAACAATAAAAGCATAGAAAAATTTCATTGTATTGTTTTTATGTAGTAGTGTATCCTATCGTTCATTTTACCAACGACCAAGATTACTTAATGTCGGTGTTGCAAGACCAAAAAGATATAGACGAACACTTCAAACTAAACCAAGGTAAACGAAATTAGTCAGCATTAATTCTATTGTAATTCGATTGTTAGTGCCATATTTGACGCTTTGATGATTTATATGCGGGAAAAATCGAAAAGATCTAAGCTCCGTAAAACACTTGAGCGTGACACATCACTTAACTTTTAACGGGTAAGGCTTCAACTACGATAACCTGATATTATAGATCAATTACTGGCACTGAATTACAATAAAAAATTAAAATTTGATAAGTGTCTATACATTGTTTATTAAAACAGTTTACAATATTGATGTATAATTTCATTATTTTTTATCCTTAAGCGTCCAAATTAAATATACTGGAATAGATGCCTTAAATATGCTAGATATCATAATTCGGTGCTGTAATAGTTTAAAAGCTTTAAAGCTCATTTATTCATTTTTTAAAAATATCAATCTTAAAAAATTGTTTGTTTGTTTGATACAAACTCAGTTGACTGTTGAATCCTGTTCCTTTGACATCTTTGTTTTAAAATACACATAAAATAACCTTAACCCAATTAAATCATCATAGTTGATAACCCTAGTTTTATAGTGTAATAGAATAAAATGAAAAATGTTGAATCATGTAAAAAACCCACGTCTAAAGTTTCTAAAACTAATGTAATAGTTCAAATCATTTAAGTGTTCACTCGTGTAGGTAGAAAAATAACTTCATTATTTGATATGTGTGCGGTTTTTTAAAATTAATTGTTTATATTATCATAACATGCCATTATATGTAATTGGTATATTAATTTTTTTCATAGATTGCATAACTAAATCTAACGATATATTTATTAATAATATTTCAAACATGCATTTTATTTCACCGTATCAATTGAAAGTAGTGTTACTTATTACTCCCACTTTCACAATTAAAATAAGAGTTTTCTATTAATTGTGTGACTTATTAAAAACTGTTTTATTTTAAAAATAGTGAAAGTTTTTAATTAAAAAATTCAATGAAGACACTGTTAGACAAAAAAATGATTGAGTCAGTTCGCAAAAGGCCCTACTCCATTATAATACTGAGATTTGCTAAATTGTTTTCATAATTTTTTTCGAGATCGAAAAACAATGTTATTCAAACAGAGTTATGTTAATTTAAAGTTGAGTTCTTCTCTTAATAGTCATCAGTGTATAGTGGCACTTATAGCTGTTATTATAAACACTCGACCCAAGAAACCATTATATTGATCATGTTAACTAATAAACATTGAGAATTTTTTAACAGTCAGAACTTGGTCTCACGGTCTATATTGTCTCAACATAAATACTGAACAGTATTTGAGCAACGAATTAATACTAAACAACTATAAAAGCAATAGCTCGAACTAATGACACATTGTTTTATTATACACAGGATCGGTCCGATCTAACTGACTACTATCATTTTTGATACTATCATCTATTCATCGTTTTCTTTAATAATTTACACTCTTAGATGACGTTAAAAACATATGCTAATTATTTGTATTATTAATTTAAAAATAGCCAGTTTTTAGGGCTTATTTTTTAGAAATAATTAATGAGTCGATAACAACTTTAGAATAAGCACTTTTTAGTTACAAGCATTTTAATTCATAGAGTGGGTTATATAACAAAATAATTATAAATTATACGCCAGTACGATCTATACCCTACGGCGATACATATACACTATGTAATAAAATAGTAGTAACTTAATAATTATTTAACCTAAAGTTGTCATCGACTCAAAAAATATGATATTGAAGTAGTAAAAGTATGCATAAATTACTAAAAAAATTACAATTACATATTATTCGTATCAAATTCATAAGAGATTTTGGTTATATTTGTTCCACTCTATATGTTCACTTTAATTTAATTAGGTGTATATCGAGAAATCAAAAGCATTGAATGTGAAGACGCTTGCAGTTCATTTGTTAAGTCTCCTGCAAGTATTTCTTATATTGTATCTGGTTTCAGAACACTTGATACCAGTCTCGCAGAGGTATGTCGGTCAATTCTATTAAATTATTATTGAACTAAACAATGTATTAGTAACGTTTTTAATAGTTTTATAACGCACCTAATAATGTATAATTAAAATTAACTTAAGTAACAAAAAGGTTTTTTAAACCAATTGTATTTTTAGTTCAATATGGTCGATTTAAAATGATTTGTAAAATTATTGCTATGTTCAACGTTTTTTTATCACATTTTTGTGTGTTAGGTTATGATAGAATCGTGGAGGGATTGGACAGGAGCTAGGCATATGTATTTATACATGCCTTATGATTTAGGCTTACAAAGGATCTCGTTATTAAAAAAAGTAGCTCCTGACTCTATTAATGCGTTTACGTATGTTGTGATTGCTGAGTGTTTAAATGTTGACACGGAAGAAAAGAAGGTTAGAAAATAATATGTTGCTAGTAGTTATAGATAATATAACTTTACTTATTTTCAGATGATGTTATTAGATTTTGTTCAGAGAATGAGGGTAGAAAAATTCCTATCTGGTTACCTGTCAGTTTATGAGCTACACAAAATGTAATACATTTGTGTAAATTTACCTCGCTTATTAAACCATGCACGTAATATTCTGTTATGTTGACTAATTTTTATTTTATTTAATTTTTGTTTATAAAAATTATTTTATATTGTTTTTAATACATGTAATTAATGTTATATTTTTTACACTGTAGTAATAAATAAATACATGTTCACTATATTTACTAAAAACAAATTGTCTTTCATCTGTTTCATTTCAAACATTGTACTTTAATAGTTCTTATTTTAAATAAATAAATAAATAGAATTGAAGATTACTAAAAACTCAGTTAAGTTGACAAAAGCAAACTCTATTAAACGCTATGATGCATCATGTACTACCATAGTAACAGGTAGAGGTAGTATATGGATAATGATTTAACAATATCCAGTTTGCAGTTATTTGTATAGTTTCTTACAAATAATAAAATAGTATTATAGATTAAAAAGTCTCTGAGAAGAAAGCCAAGCAATGGTAAAGTATTCGATTATTTTTGTTTAATTAGACATAATCGATGTAACTCATCTGTAGGCACCAAAAAAAAAATCAAAAGCAAATAAAAGTGGCCGCTCAAGTGCCGGAATTGTGGACGGTGTATCCATCGCTGAAATGTCTAGGGAACAACTGGAAGGATTTGCGACAAGGGTGAAAAAAGAATTGGAACGTGAAAGAGAAGAAAGAAATTTCTTTCAATTGGAACGAGACAAAATTTTAACATTTTGGGAGATCACTCGTCAAGAAATGGAAGAAAATAGGGCTTCGCTTAGGTTTGTTTGCAAGAACGAATGCTAAAACTTTATAAAAAGCGTTATATTCTAATTGTTTAACATAATTGAATTTTTTGAACCATAATAATAATAGCGATAACATGACATAGTTAATTTAAATCAAATTTCTATTTTTAATCTTATTGAAATGATATAGTACCTTAGTTATGGTAATCAAATTGAATATATATATATATATACAGAGTGATCGGTTTATCATAAACCACTCGATTACTCTCAAAATAATCCAATATTGAAAAAATTCTTTTTGATTATGATTTAATTAAGATAATTACTGATCAATAAAAATTTTTGGACAAGAATTTCGGGAGTTATTTTCATTTTTATACCTTGATGGAAGTAACTGTACGTACGGCCGGGAAATGACTAGAGATAAAAATAGTTATATCTTTAAATGTTTGATAACTTTTGAAATACTGTTTTAAAAATCATCATATTCTTAATTTAAACATTATGTGTTAAATAAATTAGAAAATTATGTACGTTGCCATTTGAAAAAATTAATTTTTAGTTATAAGAGATGATTCTAAATAGCAATTATTAACTAATAAATCAAGAGTTATATGTAACTAAAAGAAATCAAATATTGTTATTCCAATATTGTATTTATATTCAGAGAAATTGAGTGGTTTATGATAAACTAATCACCCTTTATATATTTTGTAAACAATTGATTATGTAATTTATTGTTTCATATTATAAGAAAATTGAAAAAAATATAAAAACTCTAGCGTATATTTAATTATTATTTAATGTATACTTTTTACTCAAAATACATCTAAATTATCAAGTTGGATTAATAGTATACGCCAAATATTAGAGTAAATTAATAATAAAATTCCAGTAAAGTAGTTAACAGTAACAATGTTTATATTTAATACTAGAATGATTCAAAGTATAATTTTTTAACTTAAACAATTTTATATTCATAACAATTAAAGATTTTTTTTTGTTTTTGTAGACAGTAAAATGTTTTTCATTATTAACAAGAAATATTTCTGATGAATTTATTAATATTTTTTAATCATCCTAGCCTTTTAAGATACACACATAAATATATATATTGTTGATTAAAATTAAGTAACTCGTTAAACTTGGCTTATACATACATGACACAGGAATAAGGATAGAGAAATTGAAGAAATTGAAGAAAAACACCAGGAAGAAATTAAAGTTTACAAACAAAAAATGAAGCTATTAATGTATGAGCAGCATGTACATCTTTCTGAAATACAAGTAGGTTTATTATAAATAGTTATTTAGATTGTTTGTGGATATGTTGTTGTTAATTTTTAATAAATACAGGCTGAAAATATGGTGTCGTTAAAAATTAATAATGATGACCATATAAAAGAGGAAGAAGATTTAATAAAAGAAAACGATGTTTTAAAACAAGAGATCGTGGAAATGAATTTTCGACACATAGAGGAAATTCATAACATAAGACGAGTAATTTTGTTATTCAAATAAACGTTTTAGTTGTTTTTATTTTTAAATTATGACCATTAAACCTATGGTTGACTACGATATAAATGTATATATTTTATTATGAATTTCATTGATAACAATAAAAAAATTACTTATATTACTATAGAAATTTATCTATTTATTGATTATTACATATAATTGTGTTTTGGAAATACTTGACTAAAATCAAAAAAAGTGTTTATTGTAAAGTAATCATAAACGATAGCTAATCTAAAGTATTGTTTTTTTTTATATTTTAAAGGAACACGCTAAACTTATTAGAGAGTTAAAGGAAAGATTTACAGAAGATTGTAGACTAATCGAAGGAAAATATCAGAAACGTATGGAAGATCTTAGGGTTCGAATGAGTATAAAAAATAAAGTGGAAGTGGCTGAAACTGAGGCAACTAAAAATAAAATAATTTCTGAAATCATAGAAGATCATAACAACGAATTTAACAATCTAAAAGAACACTATAATGATATAACTGTTAATAATTTAACTTTAATCGCTAGCTTAAAAGTATGTAGGGTATCTTATATTATTTTTGAATTATAATTATTGTTTTTGTTCAGGAAAAGTTTTTAGAATTAAAAGAAGATCAAAAAAGAGCAGAAATGGATCTAAATTTAATGACTAAAGAAAATGAATCATTAAAAGAACCTTTGAAAGAAGCAAAGAATAGCGTAGAACAGCTAACTCAAAAAATGATTAATTACAGTAATGACAAACAGCGGTTAGCAGTAAGTATTTATCAAAATTGATTTGTATCATTTTGATATAAACGTCAAAGTAAAGTATATAGTAAATTTATTCGTTAAAAATACTTTGTGAAATATTACATATTTCCTAAAAAAATATGTAATAGAATATCCAAGACTTATACAAAAAGTCTATTATCTAGAAATTTTTGATATCTATAGAAAAAGTTATAGTAATATAGAACTCTGGACTTATATATTTTTTATTGTTTTGTAACTAAAAAAGAGAAGTGTGAAATTATACTTATATATTATGTATGTACACAAGCAACGCCTTGTACTTTTTCACTCGTATGCAACAATTTATAAAACAAGTATATTGATTTTGGGACCAACAATAAGAGTTGGCTGTTGGAAATTACTGATTTTTTTAAACATTATTAATTGAAATATTGAACTTCTTGTATAGTAACAATTCTGATTTTGAAATCATAAAATTTAAAATTCTTAAAACTTAATTAATTAACTTAATTAATTAAAAATTAATAATTTTTCATAACATGCTGTTGATATAATTTAGGTTATCACAAAACGTTTGAAACATACTTTAGACAAATATAAAAATTTACAAGGGAATTATGACGAAATGCAAATGAACTTTGAAAGAGTATGTTAAAATTATACTGATATTATAAATATTTATTTTTAATATATGAACAATATTTGGGTTTAGGCTCAAAAAGAACTGGAAACAACAAAAGCTGAGTACTCAGATAAGATAATGCGTTTACAAATTGAATACAGTAAACGATTATTAATAACGGAAAATCGTGTCAAACAAGTTAAAGAAATTTTAGAGGAAAAAGAAGCTCAGGTTGCACGTATCAGTGGGGCAATATCATCAGATACGTCTATTGCTATGGCAATGAATTTAAAAACAGAAGTTATTATTTATCATAAGATATACATATTATGTTTATTAATATATTTAATTTTTTAAGTCTAAAAATTTGACGGTTATATTTTTTTAGTAAAACTTATCTAATCTCCCAGAAAAAAAGAAATTTATTTTAATTATATTTTTTCTGAATTTTAGGAATTACTTGCAAAAAAGAACACTCAAATTGAGCAAGTATGGAATGATCTAATGATAGTAACGAAAAAGTATAATCAACTCTGTAGAAACTTTAAAGATAAATTTAAAGAACACAGTTTGTCACAAGAAGATATTTATGAGTTTACCTTTTCTGATAAAAACGAGTACCTCAAGAGTGTATAGATACAATGTAAATTTCATCTATGAAATCATATTTGCTTAACTTGTTAATTTAAGGCGTTTAAAGTTTTAGTATTTCTTTAGGCATCTTTATTTTTAGCTAATTTAAACTCTTGTATAGTGAAATATTTTTTTAAAGATAAACAGGGTTCAGTAGTTTGAGTCTTATTGCAATCGTTCAAATTTGGAATAAGGTTCGTTGTAATAACATATCTTTTTTTGAACAAAAATTACAACATAAAACTTCTGCTTTATTGGTCATAACTACATTTGTAACAACTCATGACACAATAATTCCATATTTTTCTTCGGGAACTGGGGAGTGGAATCAAAACTGAACTTTTATATCTAGCATTGCATTATAATGTCAAATATAAATAAATAATTGTATTTAATATTATAATATAACACACAATAGTCAATATGATCAGATTATTAAAACAGATGCTATGTAAATAAAATATTTTTACCAATTACAATAAAAAGAATAATTGTTATTACAAAATTGATACACTTTCGTCTTAACTATGGTTGTTTTAAAATGTTTTGACATTTTAAAATTAAAAAAACATTAATTTTATTATTAAAAACAAATAATAAAAAATATGATTTTAACGTAGTCTAAATGTGTGTATAAGTTATTAAAAAAATATAACATAGGTAAATTGTATCAAAACTTACAAAAATATAAATATAACATCAAATATTACTTTCCTATTTTTGGGGGCTGATCCCCTCCTAAGATTGCAATGATAATTTATTCCAAAATTTTAGTACTAATTAAGAGAAACTGAAACAATGTCTGCATAGATGAAAATGGAAAAAATATTAATTTATAATATAATAATATACTATAAACCAAAACAAAGTTTATTACATAAATATAATTGTATAATACTATACACGGTTACTGAAGAGACCCATCTGATGGTTTGCATGTTTCATCAAAAAGGCCTGGCTATTCATCGTTGACAGTTCTCTGCAATATTATATTAATATGATAATCAAATCACAGGATACCACCTTTGAGTACATACAACAATATTTATATTAACAATAATTAAAAGAAAATTTTGTATGCCCCGTTGTAATCAATTTTCCTCAAAATTACACCATTTCTTAAATATTTAATGATAAAAACGAACATTTTTTTATTTTCGATTTCGATTTCATCTGCATACAATATCGACTTATTATTTGACTGAAAATATATATAAGGCATAATAATCAAAATAAAAATGTATAACAACACAAAAAACTGTGATTTTTACATACAAATACTATATTTTCTTTATCTTAAGGGATTATTTATACATAATTAGTTGTTAGGATAATTTTTTGAACTTATAATAAATAGCATAAATTAGAGTTTTCATTCAGTTAACATATTTCCGGTACATTTTAAACTTTTGTAAATGTTAACTTCTCATTCAAAATTTGATATTTTTAATATCTCCTTGTGGGTTAGTAAAGAGTATATTTTAAAACTTATATCTAATAAAACGAAAATATTTATAGATTTTATATAAAAAAAAAAATGTTTAGATTTATTTACTTATAAAATTTTATGACAGTTTTAAGTAAAAAAGTTTTAAAAAATGTCGAAATTTACTATTTAAAAAAATTATATTTACATGCCTAATTACAGTGGAATATTTTTTGTTTTAAATTAATATTTTAAATATGTGTTTAATTTTAAATAATATTAGTCATAAGTGATAAAATTTATATGAATAAATCTGTAATTACTCATTTAGTATAATATTTATTTACTATCAAACAAGCCAGCAGTGGCTTAGTTAAAAGTACATCATTAATAGAAATAAAAAAATAATGTTGAGTTCAGTAGTTCTACTAATTGATAAAACTTGATTAAAAAAGATTTTGGTAAACCATCATGCTATTATTTAATCACAAATGAAATATTATTAAAAATAAAATTTATGTTGAAAAAAATAATTAATTTTAATAGCTGTCATTTTTAAGTTTTTTTTTAATAATTACCTAAAATACACCAATTTTAGGGTAGTTTAACCTAATACTTTTTTTTTTAAGGGATGTCATGATATAATTTCAATACATAAATACACAAATAAATGTTATAATGAGCAAAAGTAAGTTCATTTGAAATAAAAAATAAAATACTCCAATTCTGCGAATTATAAGATTAGTTGTATTGTTAATACAATTATGTAAAAGATGTTAATCAAGTCGTCTTTATTTTTCAAATTATTTATTTTTCTTCAAATTACCTTCCTTTTATATTTCACATTTGATTTCATAAAAATTATTTCGTAAAATTAATAATTATAAATATTATTGGTGCAACGCGGTCACTGTAGTCGTCGGCGATATAATATTTACGGGTTATAACGTTGTTCTGCATCGTTATGGGCGATAGTAGTTTTACTGAGGACTCTACAAAGTCAAAGGTGACTAATTCTTTCTTTTGCTGTCTTACAATGCCAGTAATATTTAGATGACGTATGTTTGTCTATCACTATTCGTCATGTATTCATCCTCGACGGTGTATGCCCCCCGGGGAACATTAAGCGGAAGGAGATGCTACAGTAAAGAACGCGAATTGTTTTTTTTAATTTTTACTCGGACTTCACTATATAAAATGAAGTGCTTCATACACGTAGACACGCTATACTTAATGAGGAATAGTAAGATAGTCTCGATAAAGATAAGGCGCCAGTGGATTGGTCCCAGAGGTCGAAGTAGCTCTATAAAGTTGTAAGTTCTTTAAGGATAAATCCATTAAATGAAATAATAATTCATTTAAAATAAACGCTATATTTTTATTATGTTTTCCTATGTACATAACAATTAACATGATAATAGCTTTTAGTGTAGGTTTTTAAAACGCTCATAAACGTTTAACTACAGTTTATAAAACATATAAAAGACTAATATCTAAAACAAAATACAATGTAATAATAACAATTATGCCAATGGCATAAATATTTTCAGTTTAATTATTGTCGTATGAAATTCTTATAAAAAAATATAACAATTTAAATAAAATATCAAAAAATGTTTTACTTTATGGCGCTAAGTTGGGCTATATGGAGAAGGTTTCATAACTGTTACTTTATTTTTTTACGAGAAATGTCCGCCTGTGTTTGTAAGTGAGCGGTAAACATTTTATGACCTTAGCCAATAATCACGTGACCGTGTACTTAAATTAAAGTACCCAAAAAAGTACTTTAACAAGTACTATTACTACTTTAGAAAAGTTTTGTAAATTGGGCACGCTAAAATTTTCCAAGAATAAACGTTTTTTTCCTTGTTCTATTATATATAATAAGTCACAAAAAAAAGATAAAGTATTTTTCATTACAACTTTAATAAATATAAGATGTAAATAACAAAAAAAATTATTATATAAAAATAATAGAAGTTATTTGGCGCTATCAATAGATCCTTACAATTTATTTTGTTGTATACACTAACTTAAGTAATGTGATGCTTCAAGAAATTGGTTTATCTGAGTTGAAACTTTTCCNTACACTAACTTAAACAATGTGATGCTTCAAGAAATTGGTTTATCTGAGTTGAAACTTTTCCTACTTTTTAGTCAGATCAATATTATAACTTAAATATTATTACATTAAGATATAATGGTAAATACTATTAGTACTACAATATAGTTCTCATTGATATGCTGATATTTATGCGAGGTTGTAAACCCCAACGGTCAGAATCTTTTCTGATTTCTTGGAGCCGTTTGTATAAAATACAATCCCTCCTCTCCTAGTCAGGTGGTTAATATTCCATGCCCTTTGTATTAATATCTTAACTTCATGAAACTATATGAAAATGATAACAACTTTTGACCAGTATTTCAAAAGTAATTAACAATTTAATAAAGTAATAACTGAAGGCGATAAGTGGCTTCTGCTATTTTTGTCACTAGTCATTTCCCGGCAGTACTCTTCATCTGCCTTTGAATTTGAAGCAATGATGAAAACAATGGAATTCATAACGTCTAATAGATTTAGTGTATTTGTATTTAAGTTAAATTGTTTAAAATACAATTTATATTTTTGAAAATTTGAGTTCATTTATTTAACTAATAATAATGAAAGAAGAAGAGAAAAAAAATTAGCTTAAAGGTAGTTAAATGTAAAATAAAATTTTGTTTACTTATTTTAATGATTTTGTTTGGTTAAATGGGTAATACTAAAGTTTGGTAAATGATGAAGGTTGAGGGCTGTCAAAGGCAGAAAGCTGTTAAATGGTATGGGTGGTTACAAGAACTAAATTGTTTATGGTATAAGATTGGTGTTATTTATTCTCAATACAGTTATTAAAATTGGATCGTTTAGTGGAAGTTTATTATTCAAGAAAGAGATAACTTGATATCTCAAAATTTTGAGTGGAATGGATCATGATGCTCTATTGGGACACGTTGAAGTTATGACAAGAAGATAAAAAAAAAATAATAAAATTATTGGAGTAAGATTTTATAGTGTTAAATATTAAAATACTAAACCCAAGAATCTCAAATCATAGATTAATTTGTAGTAACTAGATAAGGCTGTATATTAAAATGTCATTAAAATTATTACTGCAATGATATAAATTAGTTTTATTATATTCATATTTCTCAAGAAAATAATCGAGTGCAACATTGTCTGCATCTTTATAAAAATGTTCCCTTCTTTTTGGTTAATTAATTTAGTTTTGAGTCTTGTATATTTTGATGAACTTATATTTGCCCAAGAAATTTCCTATAAACATTTTTTTTGTGATATTGAGGTGGTAGGGATACACCAGTGTGATGCTAGAGACCTTCCATTGTATTTATATGCTGGTTTAACACTGGATCTTTATAATTTATAAAATGATTGACTTTAAAAACTATTGAAACCTTCATTTTCAAGACAATTGTAAGCCTAAAATATTTATATTTATTTGTAAATTAATTAACTCTGTGACAATACTTTTTGAGACACCTTATTTTATTCTGATTCAATTACGTATTTTAATCATAGCATGCATATTTTTGGATATCTAAATTTTGTCTTGTAAGTAAAATTTTATTCGTAGTATTTTATAAGGTTGTATAAGTTTACTAGTATTTTATTTCTGGAATATTTATTTAATAACATATTGTTATTTCTATTTAATAATTAATATTTATTAATATGAATCGATGAAAGTACTATAGAAGTTTATATAAATGCCATTTTTTTTATTGTTAGTTTCCGTGATAAACCAAATTTTTATTTCGTTGTGAGTACTATGCCATGTTCCTTAAAGACAATACGGATCTGCCGCCACATTGTCGATATTTTAAGTACATGACAGAAGATTACCATAATTGTTTATGCCAATCACAAGCTTCGTTATGGGTAACAAGTTCCGGCAGTAATAAGGATAGGCCGTACTATTGCTGTACAAAAACCCACAAAGATGTAATTATTTCAAGTGATATGAAATGAATTATTAAATATTTCGTGTTAT